TGGAATTCGGTCGTTGGTTTTTTCGGTAAAGTAACGTCGAAAGAAAATAAATTTAATAATAGAAGACGACGTTTCGATTGCAACACAAGCAACCATCATCCGGTAGAACTAAATTTGAGAGAGAGACAAAACACAGACACGGAGACACACAGACAGACACACACGCACAGAGAGAGAGAGAGAGACAACACAAAGAGAGACACACAACATATGTCTATGTGTGTCTATGTTGTGTGTCTCTCTCTCTGTGTCTCTGTGTTGTCTCTCTCTGCTTGTCTGTCTGTGTGTCTATGTTGTGTCTCTCTCAGTGTGTCTATGTTGTGTCTAGCTCTGTGTGTCTCTGTGTTGTTTTTCTCTGCTTGTGTGTCTGTATGTGTGTCTTCGTGTTTGTGTTTTGTCTCTCTCTCAAATTTAGTTATACCTGATGACGACTGCTTGTGTTGCAATCGAAACATCGTGTTCTATTATTACATTAATTTTCTTTCTACGTGACTTTACCGAAAGAACCAAAGAGTAATTCCTGCAGTCACGAAAGCTTCAAATCACGTGGAATTCATGTTTTTTTTTAAAATACCCCTACAACAAAATACAAAATATATACAAATGAGCGTTTCGCATTAAAACAAAAAAAATGTCAGCGGTGTAAGCGCAGGTCCTGAAGAAATTCGGTTCTCTGCACGTGGAGAGAAATACTCGGATGTCACGGGCCGCCAGTGCCGGACACGCGCAAAAGTGAAGACGCTCCGTTGCTAACGTTTTGAACGTCTGTGGATGGTGAGGTTTGAGTCATCCGCCCTCGGATGAATCCAGCAAAGCATACACCGTGGACCCTACGACGCAACAAAGACAAAAGATCCCCCGTATAACCTTAACAGACTATTGGGGCAAGTTGCTGTTAGCGGGCAACACCTATTAAGGTTGGGTGGCCAGCACCACGCGCGGCCGCCTTTGTCTCCCAAAATGGCGATGTTTACACACCGCGCCAGGTATTCATTTAAGGCCCAGTCGACCCAGGGGAGGCCCAGCAACGGTTTGGGTAAAATCGTCGCAGGTGTTGTTGGCCGTGAGCGGGAATCGAACTCAGATCTCTGGGTGCGTAGGGCAACGCAGCGCTAACCGCTGCACCACCGCTCCCCACAATGGTGCAACAGAACACGTTGAGACGTATGCAATAAATGGCTCCGTCAGGCACTGCTGGTCTCCGCTTGTCTTTTATTCAGGTTCTTCTCCGCACCCCACTGGTCTCCTCCTCGGACAAGCGTCGTCTCTCGCGTGCCCCGCGCACGTTCCCTCTCGCGTGCCATGCACGCCTCTTCCGTTAGCTCCTCTACTCCCGCACTCTGCTGGCCGACGGCGTGCTGAGGTCCTTCCGCCACGTGGCCGATGGCGCGGATCTCTCTCTCACCACCCAACGTGTCTCAGACTCTAAACTTCCCCGACTGCCCCGATCTCTTCCGGGCTCCCACTTATATACATTCCCCCCACGTGACCCTGACTTCTCCCCTTCCGGATCGTCAGATCCGGCCTTCCATACTACCCCACTGGCTCCGCCCCCATTCACCTCGCCTCCCATTGGAGCCGAGGTGAACGGTGGACCCTCCCACACGCCCCGCAGACCAGGCTCCGCTCCCCAATACCCCGGGACGTGTGATTGGACCAGAGCCCAGCAACAACCCCATTTACGCTTGCATTACACGTAGAGTATTAGTCTGGCTTCATTGCGACCTGCTCCATACTCGCATTCCATGCACAGACGAATATCAGTTTCATTTTCAGTTTCATTTATTAGGTCTAGCTCTGTGAGCCATTCGGCTCTTGAATTGGGTGCAACCGCAACAAACAAAAAACATGAACAAGAAAACATCTTCAAGTGACTATGCGCAAACAGACAAATCCAGGAAAAAAACTGCAAAGTCTTCCAGAAAAAAAGCACCGTACACCAACGCTGTGCACAAATCCCAGTGGGATGCAAGGCAAACAACAACAACAACAACCACAAGACAACTTAGATTACAGCCATCATTCTAACTCCGTACTACAACAAACAAACATGGCCAAACCAAAACAACTTTTCGAAATCACCAAAATAAAGCCATAAAAGCAATTTAACAGTGATCATAGGAACTGTGACCGAAATTTCACAATAAACGACATAAACAACATGTACCACCAAACCCTGCAGCCATAGCTGGCTGCATGAGTCACTCCACAACAGCAGGAGCATCAGTAGGAGTCATAATATATGTTTTTGGGTCAAATCGCGTTATTTATAAATGTGTCGTAACCCTCCACCACCCGACACGGCCAAACAGTAAAAAATGTGTCACGTTTTTTCATAGGACAAAATTAAGAAGTGAATGATTTTGTCCTTTGAAAAACGTGACACATTTTTTACTGTTTGGCAGTGTCGGGTGGTGGAGGGTTACGACACATTTATAAATAACGCGATCTGACCCAAAAACATATATTATGAATAATATTGGTCGCGAAAGCCTACGTGTTAAACCATCAGTAGGAGTATCTACATTTTTCAAATGCACCTTTAAAGATCAGCACACTAAATCAATATGGAACTTCACATAGGAACCACGTATATGCATGGACTGCAAGTGCACACGGTGGCCCGAAAAGTCAAGGCACGTGAAGCTATATTCTTTTTAACAAATCACAAAGGGTCATTTAATTTATTTTAGCAAATTATCACGAATGCATGATGTGAAATTAACGTAGGACTCTTTTTTTAAGATCGCAGGTGTAATTACAGGTGTAATGAAAATAAAACAAAAAATAAGAAATCACGACGTTTCGATCGCAACACATATCATCCAGCAGTGGAAATGCTGAACCAGCGAGAGAGCTGTTACAACAAGAGGTTATTTATGTTATTTTTGGTTTTATTAATTTTTCTACCTACGTGACTTCACCAAAATAACCGAAGAGTATGGATTCCTGCAGTCACGAAAGCTTCAAATCAAGATTACCGGTGGAATCTTTCTTCACCAATTATGTTTTACGTCTCTTTATTTTGGTGATTTCGAAAAGTTTTTTGGTTTGGCCATGTTTTGTTTGTTGTAGTACGGAGTTAGACTGATGGCTTTAATCTAAGTTGTCTTGTGGTTGTTGTTGTTGTTTGACTTGCATCCCACTGGGATTTTTGCACAGCGTTGGTGTGCGGTGCTTTTTTCTGGAAGACTTTGCAGTTTTTTCCTGGATTTTTCTGTTTGCGCGTAGTCACTTTAAGATGTTTTTTTGTTCATGTTTTGTTTTTTGTTTTGTTGCGGTTGCACCCGATTCAAGAGCCGATTGGCTCACAGGGCTATACCAAATAAGCTGAACTGAACTGAATTAATTCACGGTTCCATGGTAGATTTTTGCGAACGACGGATGCGGGGTGACCCCTCCACAGGAAGAAGAAGAAGAACCGTAGCTATTAAATAACAATAATATATATATTAAATCTCACTTAAAGAATAAACAATTAAAATAAATTAATTACAGTGCTTTGTTTATTAAATGAAATAACATAATTTGCCCTGAAATTTGGTAGCAAGTGACAGAGCAGCGCTCATAGAGCCAGACTGAGACACATTTGGGGTTATCGGGGTACAGTGTTGCTATATAATAGCTCAGTGGGCCTTAACTGGTGGTGTAAAAACAAAAAACCATGTTGCCCCGAGGCTGGGGGAAGCGAGGCTATGAGACCCATTTGAGATAATTGCCTGTGTACAGCCTCCCCCCTTTGTCAATCTGTGTTTTAGCCTCCCCGTGTCCTTCGGTAAATATATTAGACTAGAATACCCACCCACCCACCCACACCCCCACCAACACCCACCCACATCCACCCACCCACACACACACCCACCCACACCCACACTCACTCACGCCCACTCACACCCACTCACACCCCCACCCACACCAACCCACACCCAACCACACCCCCACCCACACCCACCCATGTGTCTCCCCCTGGGGGCTGGCGGGGTAGGTGGGGGTGAGGGAGGGAGGGAGGCAGGTAGGCAGGTAGGGAGGGAGGTAGGGAGGTGTGGGTCCTGGGAAGGTTGCTCTCATGCTCTTCGCTAAAACTGCACAAGCCACGGCAGCAAGCAGCACGAAGAGCGGAAGGTACCTTGATGCACAAATGGAAACATTAAAAAAAAAACTGTCCATTGGTGTTGGACCAAAAAACGCCTTTTGGCGTCATCTGGTCCAAAACCAATGGAGACTAGGCTCTAAGGAAAGCTGTCTCAGGTGTGGACCAATCAACTTCAAGGACAGTGCATATCATTACCATTATCAGAGTTTATTTTTGTTTGCATTTTGACTGCTTGTGTTGTGGTTATTGCAAACATGATGCCTTGTATAAAGGTGTCAGTTTTGTACCAGTTTAAAGGGTAAAAACCTACTACTACCCATAGACTCAGCACTGCCCATAGACTCAGCACTGCCCATAGACTCAGCACTGCCCATAGACTCAGCACTGCCCATAGACTCAGCACTGCCCATAGACTCAGCTCTGCCCATAGACTCAGCACTGCCCATAGACCCAGCTCTGCCCATAGACTCAGCACTGCCCATAGACTCAACACTGCCCATAGACTCAGCACTGCCCATAGACTCAGCTCTGCCCATAGACTCAGCACTGCCCATAGACTCAACACTGCCCATAGACTCAACACTGCAGTCCATAGACTCAACACTGCAGCCCATAGACTCAACACTGCAGCCCATAGACTCAACACTGCCCATAGACTCAGCTCTGCCCATAGGCTCAGCACACAGGTGATACACACACAGGTGACACACACGCAAGTGACACGCACGCAGAATCACAACCAGAATATTTATTTCTACCGGAGGAATCCGACGAGCAATGCGGCTCTTTTTTCACACACGTCCAGCAGTCTCAGATGATGTCGCCCCCCGCGCCTCCCCCGCGCCCCTCTCGACCCCCACGACCCCCACGACCCCCTCGCCCCCCTCTCCCCCCTCGCTCCCCTCGCCCCCCTCGCCCCCCGGGACCCCCTCGCCCCCGTGCTGCGCGTCGCGGTGCCGCCGCAAGTCGACGCGGCGCTGGAAGCCGCGGCCGCAGAGGTCGCAGGCGAAGGGCTTGAAGCCCGTGTGCTTGCGCGAGTGCGTGATGAGGTTGGAGCTCTGGCTGAACGCCTTGCCGCACACGGAGCACTTGTGGGGCTTCTCACCTGTGTGTGTGTTTGCGGGGCAAGGAATACGATGGGGGGGGGGGGGGGGTCGACTCAGTATGTACCATCTGTGTCTATGTCACGTGTGTGTGGCTAAAGCACAGCAAGTTGGCACAGTAGGGGGCACAGGTGGTGCATCAGCCAGTCATCTCGGTCATCTCAGTCAGTCGACCCGTGGCACCTGGGTCTGCCCCGTGACCTCCTGCCAGCGAGCGTTCGTTCGACACTTAATGTGGCCTCAAGGTGCACATGGCCTGGCACAAGCGTCGTGGTGACGTCACCGCCACTTAGTGGTGAATGGCGGTTGTTGTTGTGGTGGTGTGTGTGTCTCATCTGTGTGTATGAAGGTGTGTGTGTAGTTGCGTGTGTGTGTAGGTGTGTGTGTGCAGGTGTAGGTGTGTAGGTGTGTGTGTAGGTGTGCGTGTGTCTCACCTGTGTGTATGAAGGCGTGTATGAAGGTGTCTGTGTAGTTGCGTGTGTGTAGGTGTGTGTGTGCAGGTGTAGGTGTGTGTCTGTGTAGGTGTGTGTGTAGGTGTGCGTGTGTCTCACCTGTGTGTATGAAGGTGTGTATGAAGGTGTGTGTAGGTGTGTGTAGGTGTGTGTGTAGATGTGTGTGTAGGTGTGTATGAGTAGGTGTGTGTGTAAGTGTGCGTGTGTCTAATCTGTGTGTATGAAGATGTGTATGAAGGTGTGTGTGTAAGTGTGTGTGTAGGTGTGTGTGTGTCTCACCTGTGTGTATGTGTGTGTGTGTAGGTGTGTGTAGGTGTGTGTGTGTCTCACCTGTGTGTATGAACGTGTGCTTCTTCATGTCGGACTTCTGGTGGAAGCGCTTGCCGCAGTAGGCGCAGGGGTAGGGTCTCGTGTCCGAGTGGATGAGCAGGTGGGTGGACAGCGTGGACGAGCGCTTGAACGCCTTGCCGCAGATGTCGCACGCGAAGCTGCGCTCCTGCACACACGGCAGCCAACCACACAGCCACTCAACCACTTAACCAACCACATAACCACACAGCCACTCAACCACACAACAAACCACATCCACTTAACCAACCACATAAACACACAACCACTCAACCACTTAACCACACAACCAACCATACAGCCACTCAACCACTTAACCAACCACATAACCACACAACCACTTAACCACACAACCAACCACACAACCACTCAACCACTTAACCACACAACCAACCACACAACCACTCAACTACTTAACCACACAACCAACCACATAACCACTCAACTACTTAACCACACAACCAACCACATAACCACTCAACCACTTAACCACACAACCAACCACATAACCACTCAACCACTTAACCACACAACCAACCACATAACTACTCAACCACTTAACCACACAACCAACCACATAACCACACAACTACTCAACCACACAACCAACCACACAGCCACTTAACCACTTAACCACCCACAATACCAGACAACCACTCAACTACTTAACCACACAACCAATCACACACCACTCAACCACTTAACCACTTAACCACCCACCAGGCCACTCAACCACTTAACCACTCAACCACCCACACGGCCACTCACTTCCTAACAGGGAAACTCACCAGCTCGACACAACCAATCAACTACAGCACAACCGCTTGACCACTCACTAATACCACCACTCAACCACTCACCAGCACCATCACTCAATCACGCAACGAGCACAAACACCCGCTCAACCAGTAACTCAACCACTCAACCAATCACCGTTCACTCTACCACTCACACCAACACTCAACAACTCACCGGCACCATCACTCAACCACGCAATGAGCACAAACACCTGCTCAACCATTAACTCTACCACTCACCATGAGCCAGTGTGGGTACTGTGTACCCAAATGCGTTTCGTTATCAAATTAACTCTTTGTAAAAAGCCATCTCGTTTTCCTCTTAATTTAATTATCCTCATCCATGTTTCGCCTGCAGTGAATTAGCACCGTATGTGTGCATCTACATTGAGCATTATTACGGTATTGTGTTGCTCAAACAATCACTTTCATTTGTTTGTCAAACACGTCGCGAATGGCATTCGCACTTCGCCCGTTCGCGTCTCGCGTTTCATTTGATTTCTACAAATCGCGGGTGCGATGGCTGTTACATCGTAATTGGTAGCTGTTGAGGCAGCGAGGTGGACCCTGATAGCGACGACAAGGCCATGGAACCAGTGACAGGACTCTATCCCGATCCCTACAGCGACTGGAGCGCCGCGGTGGCAAGATGTTAACTCCCTTGCCTGGTGTGCAGGAGGTTGTGGGTTCGATCCCGACCCTGACGCCTGCTGCTGTATATTTGGAGTTTGCGTGTCTCTCTCTTTGTCCGTGGTCGCATGGATTTTTCTCCGGGTCCTGCGTTTTTTTACCACCACATTTAGAAACGTGGCGTTGAGAGTGTTTGGCTGTTTTATATTTCCACGTCGTGATAAGCCCCTTCATTGGGCTATCATTTGCGATAGCCAGGTCGCTTCTGAAAAGGCGCTACATAGCTTAGTGCGCCCTACTTGGTATTAATTTTACATGTATATAGTTTATCTTATATTCCTGTTTGGACAACATCCGAAAAATTAGAGAGAGAAAGAGAGATCAATGTCACCGCAACCCCACGGGAGGAAGAAAAGAAAACACTTCTCAGGTGAGGACGACGATGCGACCACGAGGTGCATTCGATGGGGGACAGAGCGCCTTGCCATGGCGCTACCGCGAGCCGCCCCTCCGCTAAGCACGGGCGGCTGAGGGCGGTGCGAAAGAGATTCAACATACAAGTCAAAGACAAACAGATCCTCCGTATAGCCCGAACAGACTGTTGGGGCAAGTGCTGTTAGAGAGTAGCACCTATGAAGGCCGGCACGGCACACGAGGGGGTGGGTGGCCAGCACCAAGCCCGGCAGATTTTGTCTCAGCAGTGGCGACGTTTACATATGTCCACACGATAATGACGTCATTATCGTGTGGACATATGTAGCGTGACGTTGATTCTAAATGTGGAGGGGAAAAAACTGGAGGACCTTGAAAAAAATCCCGACGACCACGGCGAGAAAGACACGCAAACTCCAAATATACAGCAGGCGTCAGTGTCAGGAACGAACCCACGACCTCCTACGTACCAGGCGAGGTAGTTAACATCTCCTAGCCACCGTGATGATGATGAGAGAGAGAGAGAGACACGCAAACTCCAAACATACAGCAGGTGTCAGTGTCGGGATCGAACCCATGATCTCCTGTATACCAGGCGAGGTAGTTAACATATTCTAGCCACCGTGATGATGATGAGAGAGACACGCAAACTCCAAATATACAGCAGCAGGCGTCAGGGTCTGGATCGGACCCATGACCTCCTGTATACCAGGCGAGGTAGTTAACATCTCCTAGCCACCGTGATGATGATGAGAGAGACACGCAAACTCCAAATATACAGCAGCAGGCGTCAGTGTCGGGATCGGACCCATGACCTCCTGCGAACCGGGCGAGGGAGTTAACATATCCTAGCCACCGTGATGATGATGAGAGAGACACGCAAACTCCAAATATACAGCAGCAGGCGTCAGTGTCGGGATCGGACCCACGACCTTCTGCGCACCAGGCGAGGGAATTAACATCTCCTAGCCACCGGCATGAAAACTCAGCCCCCCCACGGCGTCGGAGCCGATACAATAACAGTGGACATCATCAAATAATGGGAGCAGCTGTTTAAACAGAATTGGCAGGATCTGCTTACTGAGCGTTTGCACAGAAATCGAACACCTCCTCAATTTGCAGGAATCATTGCCTCAAAAATCGTGCTTTTCTGCTCGAAACTGATTTGAGGAATTACGGAGCCAGTTTGCTGCGCACTGTGCTTTGAAACGAACTTTCGCCACCTGAGTTAGAATCCCGGACAGGGCGATAAGCACCGTGTGAGGAGCGATGCCTGAACCTGTCCCGATCACCGCCTTTAGCAGCCCGCACTGACCAGCGTATGGTCAAAAAATCCACCGTTACCGACCTGGTGTGGTGAGCAATGCCTCCACCCGGTCATGAATTTATAACAAAGGAGCTCTGCTTTCTTTGTTTACATTTTTAAATCATCTTTAAACTGCTTGTCATTGGAAGGGCGTTGAGACCACATTGCTATTGAACCTGTGAATTGCTCGAATTTGATTTTAAATCAAATAATCAACACTTTTAACCAAACAAACAGCGATTGGGACACCCAGTAACCATCCTTTTGCCGCTGTCACCTTCGTCGCTGTTATTGTGATGATGGTGGCTTCATCATCACCAGCATCATCATCATCATCATCGTGAGCAGTGCCATTACCTGCGTGTGCGTGGCGTGGTACTGCTCCAAGCTCTGTGGTGGTGGTGTTGGTGATGGTCGTGATGGTGGTGATGATGGTGGTGGTGGTGGAGATGGTGGTGGTGATGGTGGTGGTGATGGTGGTGGTGATGTTGGAGATGGTGGTGATGGTGGAGATGGTGGTGGTGATGGTGGTGATGGTGGTGATGGTGGTGGTGATGGTGATAGTGATGGTGATGATGTTGGAGATGGTGGTGGTGATGGTGGAGATGGTGGTGATGGTGGTGGTGATGGTGGAGATGGTGGTGATGGTGGTGATGGTTGTGATGGTGGTGGTGATGGTGGTAGTGATGGTGGTGATGTTGGAGATGGTGGTGATGGTGGTGGTGATGGTGATGATGGTGGAGATGGTGGTGATGGTGGTGGTGATGGTGATGATGGTGGAGATGGTGGTGATGGTGGTAGTGATGGTGGTGATGGTGGAGATGGTGGTGATGGTTGTGATGGTGGCTGTATCATCATGAACATCATCATCACGAGCAGTGCAGCTACCTGTGTGTGCGTGGCGTGATGCTGCTCCAGGCTGTGCTCGTGGCCGAAGCTGCGGTCGCAGCGAGCGCACGCGAAGGGCCTCGCCCCGCTGTGCGCGCGCCGCACGTGCACCTCAAGGCCGTGCGGCGTGGAGAACACCTGGCGGGGGGGGGCAGCAGCACACAACAGGTGCGGGGAGTCCTCTAATTACGACGATTCGACTTACGAACAGACATCTGGAACCTAACTCGTTCGTAAGTAGAAGAGTCCCTGCAGAGGCACAGATCCCACGTCTCGCGTGCCTGCCCCCATTGGAATTCCCGTGTCCAGTCCGGATTCGGAACTAGAATCGAAACTTTTTATTTTATGTTACAAGGTTGAGCTACGTATCACTTTTTCAGCAGCGACCTGGCTATCACAAATGATAGCTCAACGGAAGTGGCTTACCATCATCATCGTAAACGCGTGGTGTTGATTTTAAATGTGTAGGGAAATCCCGGAGGACCCGGAGAAAAATCAACGCGACCACGGGGAGAGAGAAACACACAGACTCCAAATATACAGCAGCAGGCGTCAGGGTCAGGATCGAACCCACGATTTCCTGTATACCAGGCGAGGTAGTTAACATCTCCTAGCCACCGTGATGAAGATGAGAGAGAGACACGCAAACTCCAAATACACAGCAGCAGGCGCCAGGGTCGGGATCAAACCCACGACCTCCTGTACACCAGGCGAAGTAGTTAACATCTCCTAGCCACCGTGATGATGAGAGAGAGAGAGACACGCAAACTCCAAATATACAGCAGGCGTCAGTGTCGGGATCGAACCCACGACCTCCTGTATACCAGGCGAAGTAGTTAACATCTCCTAGCCACCACGCTCATCGTGACAGGTGCCCCTGCCTGCTCCTGCGGGGGAGCGGTGGCGCAGCGGTTAGCGCGCTGCGATACGAACCCGCCGACCCGAGTTCCATTCCCGGGTCCTGGGCCTTCCCCTAGGTCGACTCGGCCTCAAGAAAATGAATAAATATATAGTGTCCCGCTGCCCCACGTGTCAAATATCGGCATTCGGTGGGAACAACAAAATTGTCCGGGAGCGCCATGCCGGTCGTCGTCGCTGCTTCTCCTCGCTGACTGCACTTGCCCCAACCACCTGCTGAGGCTACACGGTGAGGGTGGGGGTAGACCCTTTGCCATTGCCCTTGCCTCACCTTTTTGCACTGCACGCAAGTGCAGGCCCCGCCGTGGAGCAGCAGCCGCGCCCTCAGCAACTCGAGCCCCGAGCCGGGAGTCGAACCGTGACCCCGAGGTCCCTGCGACCTCCACCCTCCTCCAGCCTCGGGGGTTGTGACCCAGCCGGGGGGCAGGCGCGGGGCGGGGTGCAGGTGGAGGAGAGGGGGTGGGGGCCCCAGGGCGGGGGGTGCCGCTGGGAGCTGGGAGGGTTCGCCTGTGAATGGGGTGGGGGCGCGGAGGGATTTGGGGAGGGGGTGGGGGGGGTGGTAGAGGGGAGGTGGGGAGAGGGGGGATAGAGGGGGGATAGAGGGGGGGGGGCGTGGGGATAGGGGGGATAGAGGGGGGTGAGAGGGGGGGTAGAGGAGGGATGGGGAAGGGGGGTAGAGGGGGCGTAGGGGGACGGGGGATAAAGGGGGGGGGGGGTGGGGAGAGGGGGAATAGAGGAGGGATGGAGAGGGGGTAGGGATAGGAAGAGGGGGGATAGGGGGAGGGGGCATCAGTAGATGGTAATTATTGTGGGGGGCACTGATGTAGTCGTAGTCTAGGGGGCCCGCAACCAAAGCATTCCCTTTGGGGCGTGGGTGGTGGGGGTTGAGGTGGGATTCGCTAATGAAAGTAACAACCGCCCATCACTATTGCATGAGCCACAATGCACTGCGGTGGACAACGAGACGCTGGCGGTACCCCACGAGTCGGCGTCACGAGGTGGTGGGTGGGATTGAGATCTCACACGAAACTATATTATTGTCCAGCTATGTACGTGTGTGCGTGTGTGCGTGTGCACTATGAACCCGGCGACGCGGGTTCGATTCCCGCTCACGGCCAACACTGGTGACGATTATCTGAACCGGTCCTGGGCCTCTCCTAGGTCGACTCAGCCTCAAATGAGTAGCTGTATAGTAAACATCGCCACTGGGGAGACAAAGGCGGTCGGGCGTGTTGCTGGCCACCCACCCCCTCGTGTGCCGTGCCGGCCTTCGTAGGTGCTCGCTAACAGCACTTGCCCCAACAGTCTGTTAAGGCTATAACGGTGAATCTTTGTGGGGTTTTTTGGTGTGTTTTGAACTTCTTTCGCACCGTACGTAGCCAACCGGGCTAATCGGAGGTGCGGGGGAAGGCCAGATGAGCTCATGTAGCTCGTTTCGAGAAGCGACCTGGCCGCAAATGATAGCCCAACGAAGTGGCTTATACCATCGCGTGCAAATTTATAAGCAGCCAAATAATCTAAACGCGAGATGTTGATTCTAAATGTGTAAGGAAAAGACCGGAGGATCTGGATAAAAATCCACGCGACCACGGGAGAGAGAGAGAGAGACACACACACACAAACTCCAAATATACTGCAGCAGGCGTCGGGATCGGGATCCAACCGACTACCTCTTGTGTACGAGACAAAGGGAGAAACCTCCCCCCCTCCCCCAGAATTGGGGGGGGGGGGGCTGTATCACCCGAAACGTCACACACACGGTGGGGCAGGTGTCGAACTGTGAACACGTTCTCTGTGGCCCGCGACCAGAGCTCCTGCTGCTGCTGCCTCTTCCCCGAGTTACACGGCACCGCTGACTCAGAACAGCCCAACACACTAAATTAATACGGTGGCTTAGGAGATGTTGACTACCTTGCCAGGTATACAGGAGGTGGTGGGTTCGATCCCGACCCTGACGCCTGCTGTATATTTGGAGTTTGCGGTGTCTCTCTCTCTCTCTCATCATCACGGTGGATAGAATATGTTAACTACCTCGCCTGGTATACAGGAGGTCGTGGGTTCGATCCCAACCCTGACGCCTGCTGCTGTATATTTGGAGTTTGCGTGTCTCTCTCTCTCATTATCATCACGGTGGCTAGGAGATGTTAACTACCTCGCCTGGTATACAGGAACTCGTGGGTTCGATCCCGACCCTGACGCCTTCTATATATATATTGTTTTCCCTCCACATTTAAAAACATGCTTTCTTGACTTGCTAAAACTGCCCACGTGTTGATCAGCCACTTCGTTGAGCTATCATTTGTGGCCAGGTCGCTTCTGAAAAAAGAGCTTACGTAGTAGCGCATGGTTTATACCTTGTGAAATACAATTTTAAATACAAATTGTTGCCTTTGTTTGCCTGCTCTTGTTACCGACTTCATCCTCGACCTGAACAATGCCCCCCAATGTGGAGTCGTGTTGATGATGCGAACGTGGGTCGGGTCGTTACGGCTGAGCCGGCGCTGCTGAGATGCCTAGGTTCCATTCCGGGTTCCAGCTGCTGCCCGTTTTTAAACGGCGTTCTCAAGTGTTGCTAGTTGATGGTGTCAGCCTGGTTATTAATGACTCACATAGAGATCCATAGACTCACACAGAGAACCATAGACTCGCACAGAGACACACAGACTCACACGGAGAATCATAGACTCACACGGAGACTCATAAACTCACACAGAGACGAATGAACTCACAGAGAGACCCATAGACTCACAGAGAGATCCATAGACCCACAGAGAGACCATTGAACTCACACAGAAACCCATGGACTCACACAGAGGCCCATGGACTCACACAGAGACTCAAGGACTCACACAGAGACCATTGAACTCACACAGCGACCCGTAGACTCACACAGAGACTCATAGACTCACATAGAGAGCCATAGGTCTCACAGATATAGTCATATACTCACATAGATACCAATAGACTCACAGAGAGACCCATATACTTAAGTAAAGACCCATAGACTCACCACGCAGATACTCATAGACTCACATAAAGACCCATAGACTCACATAGAGATCTCCGGTATTTTCCTCCACATATAGAAACAATGTCCGTTTAGAGTGATTGGCTGCTACAAATGTTGACGCGATAAGCCACTGAGTTGAGCTTTCATTTGTGGCCAAGTCGCTTCTGAAAAAAAGCTAACATAGCTAAGGGGGCATTGCCCAGTAGAAAAAAAAAATACCCCACAAAAATAGTAAATAATAAAACTCGACTCGCATATAGGAAGGATACCTGGCTGGGGTTCCTGCTCCCCCGATCTGGGACTCCGAATCCCTGGCCACAGCTCCCCTGGAAGATGGGGAGGGAGGGAAGGGTGGGAGACGGGGAGGGAGGGCAAGGTAGGAGAAGGGGAGGCGCGGGTCCAGGTGTGAACGGTGAACGCGCAGACCCCCATGCAGATTTGTTGCTCACGATACGGCTGACAGAAATGGGTCTCCACCACCATAGAAGGGGTGAACCCCTCTGTAGACGCTGTGGCGTAACTACGTGGGCGTTTACACACCGCGTCGGGTACTCATTTGACGCTGAGTCGACCTAGGGGGAGGAGGCCCAAGACGGGTTCAGATATAATCGTCACTGATGTTGGCTGTGGGCGGGAATCGAACTCGGGTGGGCCAGGTTCGTAGCACGGGGCATTACCCGCTACGCCACCACTCCCCACCACCACCAGCAGCGTAGCCACCACCCCCCACCACCACCAGCAGCGTAGCCACCACCACTACCAGCATAGCCACCACCACCAGCGTAGCCACCACCACCACCGTAGCCACCACATGGGCGGCAAGGCGAGGTTTAAAACAATTAGGCTTGAAAAGGTTTAAGTAGAAAAACCTCAATATCCCGTCGGGCCAGTTAGGGTGAGGTTTTGATGTTTATTTTTAAAAGACGCCATTTTGTTTTTTGCAGGAAGTCTGACTGAAGTAACAGACTGCGGAGGGCCGGAGCCGGGAAATGAGAAATCTTGGCATTACCTGAGTTACTAGTGTCATCAAACGAACTCAATTTTCACCGCGAGCAGCATCATGGATCAGGACCTGGATGAGGATTTACTCGATTTCAAACAATGTGATAGTGATGTCGTAATTGTGATGGGGGAGAATTCAGTGGCCAACGCGGAGAAGGATGGAGTGGCTGACGAGGCGCCGGCGAATGCAGGGAAGGCCAGAGGACACTCGATAGGCCAGTTTTGGCACGACTTCACCGATGATCCGGAACCGCACAAGTTGAAGAGTGCCGTCTGCAAACATTGTCACATCAAATTCAACCATCACAAGGAGAGTGAGGAGGCAATGAGGCACCTGAATGCATGCGCCGCTTTTCGGAGGGCAATGAATGTCACCGAGATAGATGATCGTCCCGAGTGGCATACGTCGAACAAGAAGCGGGTGAAGACATCGAAGGCAAGCGGCAGCTCAACTCCATCTACATCGAATGCTTCGTCGATGAAGCAAGGATCGATCAAAGATCACCTAATACCAAAGCTCGATAAGCGAACGAAGGAGAAAGTTCGAGCAGGCCACAGCAATGCATTACTTTTCTCAGGCGACATCGTTCCAGCGGGTCGAAGAGGAGAACCTGGTAATCGCTGTGTAGGCCCTTCGCCCAGATGCGGTGCTGCCGAACAGGACAAGGCTGGCCGGACCATTGCTCGACAGGGCGTACATCGACATGAAGAAGAAGGTTGACAGCATCCTGGACAATAAGCCCGTTTGCCTGACATCTGATGCGTGGATCAACATCAAGAATGATCCGATTGTGAACTACATGGTCACATCGCCATCCACAACGTTGTTTCTCGAGTCGGTGTCCACTGGAAAACAGGGCCACAACGCTGACTGGATCGCCTCGGATCTTCAACGTGTGATGGCGTCCCATAAGAAGACTACATTCGCTGGCGCGGTCACCGAAAACAAAACATCCACCAACAAGAATGCGTGGGAACAGCTCTCGACGGCTCACCCATCCTCCTATTTCAAAGGCTGTAGGTCGCATGGTCTGCTTTGCTTGTCAAGGACATATTCTCTTCCACGAAGATGAGGAAAGCCGGCCAATCAGAACACACATACCCGATCGACTATCTGTTCGAGTACCTGCTTGAGTTCATCGTGGGGTGCAAGGATACGGTCAAATTGTTTCACCACAGTCGTGTTCTCAAGGCAACTGCAGGCTGAACAGAAGATCGCTGGCGTTCGAGCGTTGGTCCGGCCGGCTCCTACACGTTGGGGAACGATCAAAGGCTGTTGCGAGACACTGTTGTCGTCGGAGAGGATTCTGCATTCCATCGTCACAGCTCGTGACTTCATCAGGAGGACGGCAGCTCAGAAATCCGAGCGCATGTGAATCAAGACCGTCATTACGAGCGACGACTTCGTCTCTCTGTTGCAGAAATCCCTCGCCATTGCCACGCCCATCGACGCATTGATTGTTAAATATCAATCCGATTCCGTATCAGTCACTGAAGTCTTGCCGGATTTTCACACAATCCCCTGCTGAGTTTGCCAAGCTGCATGAAGACGGTCATGCGACCACTGAAGAGATCAACTACCTCATCAAGTTGACAGCAAGTCGCTTTCAGTTCATGTACGGAAAGGCCCCCATGGACTGGCGTATCTGTTAGATCCTCGCTTCATTGGAGAGGGCTTGAGCCCGGCTAATCGAAAAGAGCTGGAGAACGTCTTACTGGAGACACCGACCGACAATGAGATGGCGGTTGAAGACGAGAGGCGCTCTTTACGCAGCTCATCGAGTACATCATCTCGGCGCAGCAGGAGAAGGATGCCGGTGGGTTTAGATTCATTACGCTGCTCAAGGGACGTAAGACACCTCGGCAGTATTGGAAGTCTAACGGCGTGGCCTGGCCCGATCTTCAGAAGATCGGCGTCAAGCTGTTCACGATGGCGACCTTCCTCTGCAGCCTCGGAGTGTAACTTCTCAACTATGGGCTTCATACACAGCGAGCTCAGGAACAGCTTGGCGCCCAGTTTGGTGGAGAAGTTGGTCTACCTCGAGAGCAACTATGGGGCGTTCGCCGAATGCAGTTCGATGTCCGAGGGCGATGACATGGACACGTCGGAGGAGGACTCCTGCTGATTTGGGAGTATTGCGAATAAAACCATGAGGTTTATTAAAGTTTGTTAAGGGTTATTAAGGTTTGAACCTTAAACCTCAAATTCGGATGTTAAAGAATTAGGTTTTTTTCACCCCTGATCCACCACCACCAGCAGCGTAGCCACCACCAGCAGCGTATCCACCACCACCAGCGTAGCCACCACCACCAGCGTAGCCACCACCACCACCAGCGTAGCCACCACCACCACCAGCGTAGCCACCACCACCATCAGCGTAGCCACCACCATCAGCGTAGCCACCACCACCACCAGCGTAGCCACCACCACCACCAGCGTAGCCACCACCACCAGCGTAGCCACCACCACCATCACCAGAGTAGCCACCACCACCAGCGTAGCCACCACCACCACCACCAGCGTAGCCACCACCACCATCAGCGTAGCCACCACCACCAGCGTAGCCACCACCACCATCACCAGCGTAGCCACCACCACCAGCGTAGCCACCACCACCACCAGCGTAGCCACCACCACCAGCGTAGCCACCACCACCACCAGCGTAGCCACCACCACCAGCGTAACCACCACCACCAGCGTAGCCACCACCATCAGCGTAGCCACCACCACCAGCGTAGCCACCACCACCATCACCAGAGTAGACACCACCACCACCAACGTAGCCACCAGCAGCAGCAGCGCCACCGCCACCTTTAGCTAGGATTTAAATGCCTCTCAGCGATGTAAGGGCGGCGTTCGCGTGAGATCTGTCGTGCAACTTGGGCCGCTGAGTGCCATTACTGGTGCCGTACCTGTGGCCGCAGCGGCAGCATCGGCAGCGGCATCGGCAGCGCCGGACAGAGGGCGCAGCAGCTGCAGCTGCGGATGAGCGCGGCGGACCGCGCGCGTCTTGACGAGGAACGAGCGCGGCATCGCCTCCTCCTCTCTCCTCCTCCTCTCTCCTCCTCGCCCCTGTCTGATCTTTGCTAGCTGATGACTCTGCACCCACCCGCTTCCTTGCGTGCGTTGAACTTCCTTCGCACCAGCGCGCGTAGTCAACCGCTCTAATCGGAGATGCCGAGGGAAGGGGGGGGACAAACTAAACACGCGCGCACGCAAAACTGTTCGAAACCAATGAGTTTGTCAATCCTAGACGATTATTTTAAAGTTCGTAGCACCACGTCTGTTGCTAATATCGGAGAGAAGAGCGTTCCAGACGGCCGCAGAAGCTACATCTGACAGCTTCCTCCTGCTGCCTGATTCCTCCTGCTCCAGTCTCTGCTCCTCCCTCTGTTCTCTCCTCCTCCTCCTCGTCCCGGGCCGAGTCACCTGTGGTGGTGTAGGGTCACAGCACCTGTCCCCCACCTGTCTGCCTGTGTGTGTGTGCGTGTGTGTGTGCGTGTGTGCGTGTGTGTCTCATAGGTGCTACTCGCTAACAGCACTTGCCCCAACAATCTGTTAAGACTTGTCGGGGGATCTTTGTGTGTGTGTGTCAGTCCACCTGTTTGTGTGTGTTTCTCTCTCTCTCTCTCTGCGTCTGTGTGTCTCTGCGTCTCTCTGTATGTGTGTCTGTCTGTGTGTGTGTCTCTTTGACCCTGTGTGTGTGTCTCTGTGTGTCTGTGTGTTTGTCTCTCTCTGTGTCTGTGTCTTTGTGTGTGTATCTCTGTGTCTCTGTGTGTGTGTCTCTGTGTCTCTGTGTGTCTCTGTGTCTCTCTGTGTCTCTGTGTGTGTCTCTCTGTGTCTCTGTGTGTGTCTCTGTGTGTGTCTCTCTGTGTCTCTGTGTGTGTCTCTGTGTGTGTCTCTCTGTGTCTCTGTGTCCCTGTGTGTGTCTCTCTCTGTGTCTCTATGTGTATCTGTGTGTGTGTCTCTGTGTCTCTCTGTGTCTCTGTGAGCTCCGTGCTGCTCACACCAGGCGCATGGAGCGCGTGGTGAGCCCAGGGGCTCGGTTCGCATTCTCTGGGGCTCGCTCCGGGCACCTCCCAGGGCACCCCCCCTCACCCTCCCCTCACCCCTCACTCACCCCTCACTCTCCTCTCCCTCACCTCTCTCGCTCCCTCACTCTTCCCTCTGCTCCCCACTCTCCCCTCTCACTCGTGGCTTCGATCCTGACACTGACGCCTGCTGTATAATAGTTAGAGTTTGCGTGTCTCTCTCTGTCTGTCTCCCCGTGGCCGCGTGGATTTTTGTTTGTCTGACTCCACATTTGGAATCAACATCGCGCGGTTAGAGTATTCGGCTGCTACACTTTCTCCACTCAACGATGATGATGATGAGACACATTCGTCGAGCTGTCATTTGCGGTAGCCAGGTGGTCGCTTCTGAAAAAGAGTGACACAGCTCAGTGGGGCCTTACCTGGCGAAATACATTTATTTATTATTATTTTTAGTTTAGAATGACCCAGGCTCACGCACGCCAGCCACCCTCTCCCTCCTCTACCCCTCCTCATCCTCCTCCTCATCGCCCCCCTCCTCGCCACCTCGTTCGCTTCACGTGTCGCACACTCAGCACTGCATCGCGCGGCGCTTTCAGACGCACTGCTTCCGCGGCCGTCTGGAACGCTCTGCCCTTCCGATGTTCGGAAGCCACTGGAGGAGCTACGCACTTTTAAATCATCATCATCATCTAGATTGACGAACTCATTCCTTTCAGACTGCTGTTTGTGTTCTAGTTTGTTGTCTTTCTCCCGCACCTCCGATTAGCGCAGTTGGCTACGTACGGTGCGAAAGAAGTTCAACATACACAAAGACAACGATCCTCCGTACAGCCTATAACAGACTGTTGGGGTAAGTTCTGTTAGCGAGCATCACCGATGAAGACCGGATCGGCCATCTGAATGTGGCGTTGTAAAGTTGTTGACTCCGAATCTACACCAGCAGCAGCCATGCGAAAGCAGAAGAAGAGACTCATAGACACTCATAGAGATCCAGACTAATAAAGACCCACAGAGACTCATAGATACCCATGGAGATCCAGATGAATAGAGACACAGAGAGACTCATAGGCAACCATAGAGATCCAGACTAATAGAGACCCACAGAGATCATAGACTCTCATAGAAACCCAGACTAATAGAGACCCACAGAGACTCAGAGACACCCATAGAAATCCAGCCTAATAGAGACACACATAGAATCAGAGACCCCTATAGAGACATTATAGCGATACAACTCGGCTGGCTGCTTGCGCCATGGTTATCTGCTGGCTCTGCCACCTGAATGTGGCGTTGTAAAGTTGTTGACTCCGCATCTGCATCAGCCGCCGCACGAAATTTAGCAGAAGATGTAGTAGAAGATCGTCGTCATCATCGTCCTGACCCCCCTCCTCCTCTGTAACCCTACAGCCCGCATCCTGTAACCCTATCCCACACGTGTTCGCGTGCTCTCTCTCCACCCCCCCAGCCCCCAGTGTAGTAATGCACAAATCTGCACGCGCCTTCAATCTTCTCTGCCCAAGCCGAGAGCAAACATCGGCGCCGAGTGTGAGCCGCGCCGCGCCACGACACCTGCGCCGTGTCCCACGGGATCATAATCCCCCCTCCACCTCCCCCTCCCCCTCCCCCTCCCCCTCCACCTCCACCTCCCCCTCCACGTCCACCTCCCCCTCCACCTCCCCCTCCACCTCCACTCCACCCCCCCTTCTACCCCCCCTCCCCCCCTTCTACCCCCCTCTACCCCCCTCTACCCCCTTCTACCCCCCCTCTACCCCTCTTCTACCCCCCCTCCACCCCCCCCCCTCCTCCACCCCCCTCCACCCCCCCCTCCTCCACCCCCCCTCCACCCCCCTCCTCCACCCCCCTCCACCCCCCCTCCTCCACCCCCCCTTCCACCCCCCTCCTCTACCCCCCCTCCACACCCCCCCACCCCCCTCCTACACCTCCCCTCCACCCCACCCCTCCACCCCACCCCTCCACCCCTCCCCTCCACCCCCCCCTCCACCCCCCTTCCACCCCCCCTCCAAATGAGTACCTGGTGAAGTGTGTAAAATCATCGCCACTGGAGATACAAAGGCGGCCGGGCGGGCGTGGTGCTGGCCACCCACCCCTCGTGTGCCGTGCCGGATTTCATAGGTGCTGCTCGCTAACAGCACTTGCCCTCAACTCTCCGTTAAGGCTACGCGGGGGATCTTTGTCTTTGTTGCGTGTCTATGAGTGTGTCTCTGTGTGTCTGTTAGCGTGTCATCTGTGTGTGTCCGAGTCGTTGTGTGTTTTTGTTGTTGTTGTTGAAGTTCCATTGTCTTGGTGAATGAATGGCCCCCCGCGTGTTTGTGGAGCCGCGCGTGGCACGCCGCGGTCGGCAGAGCGCGCGCCCGCGGCAAGTTCGAGGGAGCGAGCGAGATTCACCTGCAGCTGATCCACCACCAAAGACAAAGATCCCCCGTATAGCCTTAACAGACTGTAGGAGCAAGTGCTGCTAGCGAGCACCTATGAAGGCCGGCACAGCACACGAGGGGGAAGGTGGCCAACACCACGCCCGGCCGCCTTTGTTTCCCTAGTGACGGTGTTTACACATCGCACCAGGTACTCATTTGAGGCTGAGTCGACCTAGGGGAGGCCCGGGACCGGTTCAGATAATCGTTACCGGTGTTGGCCGTGAGCGGGAATCGAACCCAGGTCGCCAGGTTCATAGCACAGCGTAGCGCTAACCACCACACTACCGCTCCACCACCACCACTACCGCTCCACCACCACCACCGCCACGACTACCGCCACCATCACCTCCGCCACCATCGCCAATTACCACCAATCTCCATCGATCACCACCACCAATCACCACTAATCACCACCACCAACGACATCGCCAATTACCACCACTCTTCATCATCACAAACCACTGCCAATCACCACCATCATCGATCACCACCACCAATCACCACCACCACCAATCGCTACCACCACCATCTGCCCCAACCCACCTCTGCACATTACCACCACGACCAGATACATGTTCCCACCCTCCACCACCACCACTCCACCACCACCACTCCACCACCACCCATTATAACGCGACCCCCTTCACGCGACCAGGTGCCCTGGGTCCGGGACGTGAGATTTTCTGGGCGCCCGGTCGATGGAACGCGCGCGGTGCCCAAGGCCGCGGGAGGGGAAAGCTTTCTGGTTTTTATGTTTGATTTGTTTCGTTTGGGGCACATGTCGCGTTCACACGGAGCCTGCGGCCAAGCGGACAAAGTTCAATCAGGGCGCGGAACAACACGGGGCTGACACACGGCAGCAGTAGCGCACCTCCGTCATCAGCTGCATCCACGTCTTCAATGCAGCGCGATACCGTCATCAGTTGCATCCACGTCTTCAATGCAGCACGACTCCGTGACAATTGCATCCACATCATCAAAGCCACGGAGTCTAGGGATAGTGTTGAGTCTATGGGTAGTGTTGAGTCTATGGGCAGTGTTGAGTCTATGGGCATTGTTGAGTCTATGGGCAGTGTTGAGTTTATGGGTAGTGTTGAGTCTATGGGTAGTGTTGAGTCTATGGGCAGTGTTGAGTCTATGGGCTGTGTTGAGTCTATGGGCAGTTTTGAGTCTATGGGCAATAGTTGAGTCAATGGGCAGTGTTGAGTATTTGGGCAGTGTTGAGTCCATGGACAGTGTTGAGTCTATGGGCAGTTTTGAGTCTATGGGTAGTGTTGAGTCTATGGGCGGTGTTGAGTCTATGGGTAGTGTTGAGTCTATGGGCAGTGTTGAGTCTATGGGCAGCGTTGAGTCTATTGGCAGTGCCGAGTCCATGGGCAGTGTTGAGTCTATGGGCAGTGTTGAGTCTGTGGGCTGTGTTGAGTCTATGGGCAGTGTTGAGTCTATGGGCAGTGTTAGTCTATGGGCAGTGTTAGTCTATGGGCAGTGTTAGTCTATGGGTAGTGTTAAGTCTATGGGCAGTGCTGAGTCTATGGGCAGTGTTAGTCTATGGGCAGTGTTGAGTCTATGGGTAGTGTTGAGTCATTGGGCGGTGTTGAGTCTATGGGTAGTGTTGAGTCTATGGGCAGTGTTGAGTCTATGGGCAGTGTTGAGTCTATGGGTAGTGTTGAGTCTATGGGCGGTGTTGAGTCTATGGGTAGTGTTGAGTCTATGGGCAGTGTTGAGTCTATGGGTAGTGTTGAATCTACGGGCAGTGTTGAGTCTATGGGCAGCGTTAAGTCTATCGGCAGTGCCGAGTCTATGGGCAGTGTTGAGTCCATGGGCAGTGTTGAGTCTATGGGCAGTGTTGAGTCCGTGGGTAGTGTTGAGTCTGTGGGCAGTGTTGAGTCTATGGGCAGTGTTGAGTCTATGGGCTGTGTTGAGTCTATGGGCAGTGTTGAGTCTATGGGCAGTGTTAGTCTATGGGCAGTGTTAGTCTATGGGTAGTGTTAGTCTATGGGTAGTGTTGAGTCTATGGGCAGTGCTGAGTCTATCGGCAGTGCTAAGTCTATGGACAGTGATAGTCTATGTGCAGTGTTGAGTCTATGGGCAGTGTTGAGTCTATGGGCAGTGTTGAGTATATGGGCAGTGTTGAGTATATGGGCAGTGTTGAGTCTATGGGTAGTATTGAGTATATGGGTATTGTTGAGTCTATGGGCAGTGTTGAGTCTATCGGCAGTGTTGAGTCTATGGGCAGTGTTGAGTCTATGGGCAGTGCTGAGTCTCTGGGCAGTGTTGAGACTATCGGCAGTGTTGAGTCTATGGGCAGTGTTGAGTCTATGGGCAATGCTAGTCTATGGGCAGTGTTGAGTCTATGGGCAGTGTTGAGTATATGGGCAGTGTTGAGTCTATCGGTAGTATTGAGTCTATGGGCAGTGCTGAGTCTCTGGGCAGTGTTGAGTCTATGGGCAATGTTGAGTCAATGGGCAGTGTTGAGTATTTGGGCAGTGTTGAGTCCATGGACAGTGTTGAGTCTATGGGCAGTTTTGAGTCTATGGGTAGTGTTGAGTCTATGGGCGGTGTTGAGTCTATGGGTAGTGTTGAGTCTATGGGCAGTGTTGAGTCTATGGGCAGCGTTGAGTCTATTGGCAGTGCCGAGTCCATGGGCAGTGTTGAGTCTATGGGCAGTGTTGAGTCTGTGGGCTGTGTTGAGTCTATGGGCAGTGTTGAGTCTATGGGCAGTGTTAGTCTATGGGCAGTGTTAGTCTATGGGCAGTGTTAGTCTATGGGTAGTGTTAAGTCTATGGGCAGTGCTGAGTCTATGGGCAGTGTTAGTCTATGGGCAGTGTTGAGTCTATGGGTAGTGTTGAGTCATTGGGCGGTGTTGAGTCTATGGGTAGTGTTGAGTCTATGGGCAGTGTTGAGTCTATGGGCAGTTTTGAGTCTATGGGTAGTGTTGAGTCTATGGGCGGTGTTGAGTCTATGGGTAGTGTTGAGTCTATGGGCAGTGTTGAGTCTATGGGTAGTGTTGAATCTACGGGCAGTGTTGAGTCTATGGGCAGCGTTAAGTCTATCGGCAGTGCCGAGTCTATGGGCAGTGTTGAGTCCATGGGCAGTGTTGAGTCTATGGGCAGTGTTGAGTCCGTGGGTAGTGTTGAGTCTGTGGGCAGTGTTGAGTCTATGGGCAGTGTTGAGTCTATGGGCTGTGTTGAGTCTATGGGCAGTGTTGAGTCTATGGGCAGTGTTAGTCTATGGGCAGTGTTAGTCTATGGGTAGTGTTAGTCTATGGGTAGTGTTGAGTCTATGGGCAGTGCTGAGTCTATCGGCAGTGCTAAGTCTATGGACAGTGATAGTCTATGTGCAGTGTTGAGTCTATGGGCAGTGTTGAGTCTATGGGCAGTGTTGAGTATATGGGCAGTGTTGAGTATATGGGCAGTGTTGAGTCTATGGGTAGTATTGAGTATATGGGTATTGTTGAGTCTATGGGCAGTGTTGAGTCTATCGGCAGTGTTGAGTCTATGGGCAGTGTTGAGTCTATGGGCAGTGCTGAGTCTCTGGGCAGTGTTGAGACTATCGGCAGTGTTGAGTCTATGGGCAGTGTTGAGTCTATGGGCAATGCTAGTCTATGGGCAGTGTTGAGTCTATGGGCAGTGTTGAGTATATGGGCAGTGTTGAGTCTATCGGTAGTATTGAGTCTATGGGCAGTGCTGAGTCTCTGGGCAGTGTTGAGACTATCGGCAGTGTTGAGTCTATGGGGGCAGTGTTGGAGAGGGAGAGGCGAGCGAGAGCGTGAAGTTTACCAATCATCGGGCGCGGCCGGCGTGGAACGATGTAACTTATAAATTGGACACTGCGAATATTGGTCGACACGGCAAGGTGGGTTCCGTGGGGGTTCGCGAGGACTGCGGGTGGGGTTAGTGGGGGGCGAGGAGAAGTGGAGTCGACGGAACCAAGGCGTCAACCCTAACGCCGTT